CTGTCTCCTGGTTAGTTCACGATCCACAACAATGTCCACCTTTAGCTGCATTACTTCCTTGTTTCCTTAGTGGCCACTTTTTATATTTTTAAAATCTAAAGAAGCATCAGCTTGTTCCCCTTCACCTATTACTTCATTAATGCTCAAAGAATCCTAACAGACTGAACAAGGCATACATTTCCTTTGCACAAGCAGTGTGGGTTACACCTTTATACTGTGATATTCACAGTGGTTAGAACTATAGTTCTAGTTACTGTTTCAGCCAGTTTACTAAAACAGCTGATGTAGGCTGGTAGCATCCCAGAGGCTATTTAGAGAGCAGTAGTTAGTCTGAAGTCAGGTACAAGGCAGGGCAGGGTGGCACCTTAGCCTCCTTCTACATGTTACAGATACTGTACAATTGACTGGTTAACTGCACAATTACATTGAGACCAGCTACACATGTAAAGTAGCTATTACACCATAAAAAGCTCCAACTATAAAGTTAGACCTTGCAAATATGTACTAACTTTATAGCTGGTTGCTATCCAGCTTTAAATTTGCATGTGTAGCAGAGTCTGCCCCTGCAGCTGGGAGCCCCATCAGCTGACTGGGCTTTCAGCTGTAGGGGTGCACCAGGCGCAGCTGGGGCTGGGAGTCCCGCAGCTGATGGGACTCTCCCACCAAACAGTGCCCCAGCTGTGGCATGGCAGGAGGCCCCATGTATGGATCATGCTTCAGTTCTGTCACACCTTTACTTGAAAGCCCAGAGGGGCTCACAGGTTCAGACAGCCATAAGCTTTCATTGGTGACAGCCTAATTTGTCAGCTAGTGGACGATATTGGTTACTCACCAAAAGAATGGAGGGAAAATGACCAATGTTGTATTTGGAAGAGCATAATCTAGTGTAAACCTTTGTTTAAAAAACCAAACAAAACCAAACAACCTCCACCTAACTGTACAGCACTGCAAACTGACACCCACACCACACAAATGCAAGACCCCATCAACAGTGAGTTACAATTGTATTTCTTAAATACTACTTATTCCTACCAGTTCACATGCAAGACACTGGTTCTTCAGTGTGGAAAAGTCTGATCAGTGCACTCCACGATAGCTTGATAACCATGTTAGGGATGCTCCCTAGTCATCTACCAGACGAAGAGATTTTCCTCCTCTTTTGAGTGACAGCAACCCTTCCCTAATCACAGGCTGTATACTTTACCATTAAACCCTCCATTAAGTGCTAACTTTAGGCATAAAAAGAACACCTGCTTACACGTTAGCAAGTCAAGAGTCTCTCGCAGCCAGAGTCCCAGAAGCAGGTTTCCCCGTCTAACTTGTAATGTTTCCAGAACATTCTAAGGATGACTCATTCCCAGAGCAAATCTACATCACAGGGGCACACCTTGCCTAATCCAGTCTACTACCACCAGCAACCTTTCCTTTAGGATTAACAGAAGTTATGGAAATATGCCTGGTCAGGAGGAAATGCCCGTTTCAATATCAAGGCAGAAGTTAATGTAATATTTCTGTTCATAAGCTAATTAGCTGGAGGAGTCTGCAGCAAAGGCAGATCCATTGAGAGCAGCAGTAAAAGCTGGGCTTGCCTAGCAACCGGCACTGGGTAACACATGGTGTTTGGTACAGTGCGGTATCAATAGAGAACAAGAGCTGCTAATTTAATATACATCACAGATTGTCAGTCTTTACAACTATGGAAACTGCTGAGTATTTTTAGAGGCAAAGAATCAACAGAACTTATTCTTATGCCAGAGCTCTGCAGACACCAGAGGAACCAACCGGATGTTTAGTACATTAAACCTTACTCTGGTAGTCTAGCTGGCAGGGCGAAAGAGTCTATGAGGTCAGTTACATTTGTACGACTCAGTCCATTCCTGAACGTAGGATGAACTGTTCAAGGAAAGAGGATATGGCCAGGTATGAATCGATAGCCATACAACAACAACAGATTCTTTTGTTACCCTGAAGAAATCTACCCTTCTTAACAGTGCTGTACATGTTCAATAAATGAACACATTCTTACCTTCGTCTTGATTTGCTTGGGTGTGTCAGTGAGGAAGATGGAAGAGTTGGGATCACTGGCACTCATTTTTGTCTGAGCTCCTTGCAGGGCTGGGAAAAAGACTGAGTGCAGTAATGCTGGTTTTGGGTATCCAAGTCTAGGTGCTACATCTCGGGTCATTCTGAAATAAGGATCCTGGAACAATCACCAATAAAACTGAATATACCCAGTTGAAAACTGCTTGATTACTCCTGACCTAGTTCAGCTCCAAAGTACTAATCTTCTGGCAGGATATTCCCTATTCAGTTACCAGTTCCCTTAGGCAGCCAACCTACCCTGAAAAAATCCCTCTCTGCATCTCTGTAGTCTCTTTGTGGACTCATGTCATAAACACTCAATACATTTATTTTAAAAGAAGCTGTGTTATGTCCTCAGTAACTGTGAAAGCCATACATTGGATGGCTCAGACAAGAGTTGGCCACCTATCAACAGGGGCTGGCAGCTGGACTGCAAGCTTCCACAGGCAAAGAATCTGATCTAGAGCACTGAGCACTCTCCCAGCACTGAGTTAATAGTGCTTTTTTACAAGCCATGTCAGGAGCTGACACAACTATGGTGACAATACAGTATGGATGGAATGCAATGGTTTAGTTCAGGGCTGTCTAACAGGTGACCCAGGGGCTACATGTGGTCCTTGAGGAGTTAACTTGCAGCCCCTGGGCTCCTACCCAGCTGTTTGCTCCCCCCGCTGCTCCAGTTGCAGTAACAGTAGAGGCATCCAGGCTCCCCCTCCCTCCTCCTGTTTCGGTTTCCTGAAGTGCAGTGCAGGCTGTAGCGCCCTGAGAGCTGGCAGCCTGGGATGTCTGAGGTACGGTACAGCTGGGGAGCTGAGGGGGAGGCCAGGGTGTCTGTGTGCACAGTGCAGCAGAGGGGGCAGTGGCCATCTGTAGCCCCCAGACACTTACAAGTTGGGGGCTGCTTACAGTCCTGCTTTAGTTCATACATCTCCCAGTGGCTGTTCCCAGAGGAGGTAAAGCCCTGTAGCTTATAGCATTCAAATGGTAAAAATCTATTGTTTGGATGGTAAAGGCTGGGGATTTGATCCTTCAAAGAAGGCCATGGTGCCTGACTAGGTGGGCACAACACATGCCTACACCTATACACTACAGGAATTGAGCTGAGATCACGATGGATTAAATACTTAATAGGAACATGTACTAACTAGTAAGGTGTGTACTCTTGGCTGAAGGGCTTTTGTTTTTACTGGACATAGTGTAAGGCCCTTCCACTTTCTCACATGTCTGCCTAAGGAAGTTGCTTGTGGAAAGAAAGTTTTGTAAATGCATTCATGCCCCTGCAGAGAGGTCTGATGTGTGCATTAAAAAAACCCCACACACCCCTTAAAATAAAGCTGATGCATAATAAGATGATTTCTCACTTGATCAATGGCACATGGAATAAGACACTGAATGTCCTCCTTGCCCTTGAAAATCTGTGGGAATGTTGAGCTGAAGGACGGAGCAGCTTGAATAGCAGGAAAACTGATCTTTCCTAGAAAAGAAGACATTTTGGAAGATTCTGATTTGCCCTTGCCAGTGCACTATCACCCAGGATGCATAATCAATTAATACTAAAGTAAGTTAACTCTAACAAAGTTCACTGGCATCTATAAACTAATGATGGTGGATGTCAGGAAGGGTAATGAAAAGGACTAGATTACTCTAGGCATTTGGAGACAGGCTACTGGGCTAGATGGACCACTGGTCTGACCTACTATGACACTTCTGATATCCTTAACAAGACATACAACTACACAGAAACAATTAATTTAGTTCAATATCTGAAATACATATTAATTCCATATTGCTCAGATACTGAACTGACTGAGAAAGAGAGAGAAGCTCTTGTATGGGATGTTTTGGATAGGGATATTTCTGCCTTGAGTCCCTTCCAGTCCTACTTTTAGGCAATTCTTTATGTAAAATATTGAACTGAATTTTATTTATTAATATATAAATACATATAAATATATATAGAGAGAATATATCATAGAAAAGTAGGGATGGAAAGGACTTACAAGAGAAATATTTTTACTGAAACCATTCCAATGCTAATAGTAGTAAAATAAATAATTATTCTCTACACTTAAGCTTATCACACAAACTTAGATAAATTCTGTATTTAATACTTCATTGCCATTAAGACAGCAGCAGTATTTATATTGCAAAAAAAAAAATTGATAGCTGTAATTTGGCTTGAAGGACACCAGTTTAAAATATTAACATTGTGCTTTCCTTCTCAGCCTTTTAATGAGCGCAGATCCTAGTCTGTTTACATAACCAAGTTGCCTTTGACTCAAAAAATGTGCAAAAAAGCTGTAATTTCTAGCAGTTCATATTCACAATCTTACCAATGCAATCGCTATCTGTAAAGCCAAAGATTCCTTTCACTTGGTTAAACGTAACATGCTTTTGGATCTTTACAATGTTTTTGTAGAATCCAGGACTCATTCTGTAAGGCAAAAAGAAAAGACAAATTAATAGCAAAATATAGTTTCCCTCTTCAACTTTTTCTAATATCATTTCTGTAATAAAACTGACACAATGCAGGTGAGCTGTTACTCCACCTGAGCAGTACTGCTTTATGACACATTCTGGATAGTTATACTTTTTGTTAAAAAAAAGATTATTTTACATTTTCTTATTGAAGCTACCATATACTTTGTAGATGGGGCTCATCAAAAGCTTTTTTATGAAAATTGGTTTTACTGGTGGAAGATTGAGGTTTCCTAAATATGAAACTTCTCACAATCAGTAGTTGCTGTACTCTGAAAACATAACCTTTTTGTCAAAAAAACAAATGCCTGGAAACAAAAATATTCTGACTTGCAAATGATGCTGGGGTGATGCTCATGGGAGCTGAAATGGTGTCAGATCCCCATTTCCCTCTCTAGGCCAGGGCACTTTGAACTGAAATCTTCCATAATATTCTATGGCCAGATACCACCAAGATACTGCAATTGGGCTCTCTTAGAAAGGAGACCATGGGAGATGTATTTGAACTAGGGAGTTTGGCCTACAGAGAATAGGAGTGGGATGCACTTGACTATGATCCCATTAGACAGCATTTCTAAATCAGCATTTCTAACACCATTTCTAAATCAAAACAGTTGTTTTTTGAATTTCTGCTGAAAAGCTGAATTTTTCATGGGAGGCTGTTGTTTCAGTTGGTTACGGATGGGCAGCTCCTATGCTACAGCTAAATTTTGTAGAGCTATTCCATGTGTTGTCAACCCCAGAAATAATTCCAGTGCAAATGGAACCTGTAGTTATCACTGAATGGAAGTAAAATGGCAGAGAATATTTCTTCATCAGGATGACATCTTTGCAAATTCCTTGTACTACAAGGAAAAACAAATATGGTTTCTTTCTCTTTCAGGGAAGCAAGCATTGGGAACACTAGAGAAAACCTCCATAACTTTCCTCCAAAGAGCTAACCTCCCCTGAATTATTGAGGTTATAAGCATGACTAAAAACCTCTCTATCTGAACACCTAATCGACCTTCCTCTTCCAAGTGCCAATGATATGTTATGGGTCTACTAAGAACAGTTTTTGAAAAACAGATAAAAACTTCTGGGGGAAGGATAAAGAAAACCCAAACACTAACAACTTTCAAGGCTAACCCTACAGTCTTTTCTTAGCCAAGACCTCCTATTAAAATTGCAAGGGGCTTTGCAAGAGTAGTACTGATCAAACCTAGTATTACTGACCCCACCTCCCTGCAAAAGAATCTGAAGTTGGCTGGGCTGTTACACAAAACAATATACCTGATACAAACATATTAGCACACAACTCATTTATGTACTTGGAGGTTCTTATTACTGTGACCCTCCTTCTCTCCTCTCTTTGCAAACTCTTCAGGCAGGAATTGTGCTTTCTTGTATATTTTTATGCCTATTAGACAATGTAACCTTGATCCCAATTAGGGCCTTAAACTGTCACATAAATATAACAACATGGTGCTGTACAAGACGGAATGAGTCAAGGTCCCTGTCTCAAGGTTTCTGCAGTCCAGTTGGTACAGAATTGGATCTAAGCCGTACAGACGCTGCAGAACACATGAAGGTCTGATTATCATAGCTGTAGGGATACCTGCTGCCTATTCCAATTGTTTCTTTCTTCTGTTACTTCAAAATTCTTACCATTTTATTTTTGCTTGGAAGTTACATTTGCTGTAGTCTGTGTGTGGCATAGGAAATTTAGATACAAGTTTGGGAGTATGAGACAATGCCCTAGAGTCTTCCCTTTTTCCGCTTCCCTATTATTAGTTTTTACGGCATTAGAGGGAAGGGGAAAACATTGCTCATAATTTTCTCATGCTTATTCACTTTGCTCATCTTTACTTACTTAAGTAGCTCCTACTCATGCTGACTTGAGTAGGACAGCCATAAGAGTAACAAATACTCACAGAGTAAAAGATTTCAAGATCAGGCCTAATATGCTCTAAGATAACATTTCCTCTCCTCAGTTTGCAGGAAAAGGGAGAGGAATATTACTGAGGGGTGTGTATATATAAGAATGGGGGCACTCTGGAGAATTTTTCTGGGTTTTTGTTGTTGTTAAAATATAAAATATTTTAAAAACTGATTTTTATAAAATGAAAGAAAGAACCATAATAAATGTAAAATGAAAAATATATAGGACCAGTACTTCTATACCAGAACTGACTTGAATCTCTGGGTCAGAAGATCTCTGATATTTAATACTGATCACAGGGACTTAGGAAAGTAGGGCTGTAAGGGACCTTACAAGGTTTAATGCAGGGTAAGTATATAGGCTTATTAAAAAAAAAGAGCTCCAAAAATATATATCTGCTCCCTGATCGTAAAGTTTTGCAACTTTAATCTTTCCAGGGAACTGGAATTAATGGACAGTCAGGTATTAGCTTATACCTTCAGGGCCATTTGGCAATACTGGCAGATGCATGAGAACATGTAGCAATACCGCAGCTTCAGCAACTGCCATTCAGCAGACGTTGGTGCTATTTTTGCTTAAGACTGAGACAGATCTCAAAATATACACTGTGTTTGCACATGTACATGGGTAGAACTTGCAACCACACTTGTGGTCTAACTCTGCTGCCACTGGTCTCCATTAAAGTTTTATTGAGAATACAAATGGAAGCAAACAGGTGAACACTGAGGATGTTTGAAAATCCAACCCTAGATGTTCACAGAAATATGGCAGGCAGGCATGAACAAGTTAGAAGAAATTCAAAGCCTTATCAGGAAGTCTTTAAACTTAGGCAGTTTGGAACATCTCAGAGGCACTGTCCTCTTGCATACTACTGAAAATGTATTTAATGGCATAAAAACAAAAATCAATATACAATCATTGAGGTCTTATGCCCTCACATAGGAAACACATACTTAAGTTGGTAAAGATTTGCAAAATTAAGTCCCATAAAAGCAAATTCTTTTTAATGAGTTAAGAACCAATGCCATGTGGGGATACAAAAGGTTAAGTGCTGTCTCTAAAGCGTTCTTCCCCATTCTGAAGTCTTCCTGGAAGCTTTTTCTCGTCACCCATGTGAGAAAGTAAAGCCTACAACTTAATTTTCAAACTCTATTATAGATCAGGCAGTTACAATAAGCTGCTTATTTTTAAATTGCAAGAATCTTGTGAGCTTCTATTAGCAGTGCACCCCCTACTGGAAATCAAAGTGGTAACCTTCTTGTTATACTTCAATAAGAGGTGTTTGACAAGTTACTTGTATTCCCTAAAAAAAGCAGAAAAGTTATATCAAGCTAAGGACATCGGTAAGGTTTTGATCCCAAATAATCAAGTTTCAGTCCTAAGGTTACCAGTGTAAGCCATACATGCATTGTAGACTGTGTGCAACATGTGCCGTGTGTAACACAGGCTGACAAGTCTGTGAGTGGGCATGAGAGTGAGACAGTCAGTGTTGAAATCTTTAAGGGAATCACAGAAAAGTGTTGCACTTATTCTGTGTTAGGCTCAGGGCAACCTAGGGAGTATTCCCCCTAGATTAGTGAGCTTAATGGCAGACTCTGTGAGCAAAAAAAAAAAAAAGAGTCAAGAGTTGGAGAAGTGGGTTGTAGACAAAGCCACTCCAAGTTTCTGGGATAAGGACACATTCTGTGGACTGGATCCATTTGTGCAGTTGTGCAACCAGTGGTCTTCCCTGGATAGTCTCCAGACATAAACCCTGGGTGAATAAAAAGGCAAAGAAGTGAGATGCCCTCCAGGGGCTGTTGATTGCATGTAAAGCTTTAACTAAATAAATGGAGCATTTACAGAATGCAGAGGATGACGCAGAGAAACTGTGGCAAGAGGTAGCGGTCTTAAAGGCACAAATTAATGCATTACAAGGCATGTCCTTAAACGACAAAGTAGAAATTACAAAGTTAAAAAAACAAGTGGAAGCTTTATAAAACCAAAAAGAAGGAAGCAGATAAAGAAACAGCATTGTGGAAATAGAAAGGACAGGATCCACAAGAAGCTGTGCGAGAGGTCTTGAAACATTCTCCAAATTTAGCTAGGTCTGACCACAGTCAATGACACCAGAAGATAAGAGAGTTGGAAGCTAAATTAGGAGTGTCAGAGGAAATTGTGGCAGAGATACAAGGCTGGGGGGAGACATGTGGGGGGACATCTAGGAGAAGATGGGCCTAGTGAAAATGAGTTAGAAGACTGGGATGACAATTGCCCAAATCTATATCTTCCCTATTACAATTACGACTTCAATCACTGGGGTGACCCTCCCTATTGACCATCCTCGTTTCCCCATTGAGAAGGGAGTTGTAAAGGTTAAGCGATGGCTTGATGCCTGCCAGGGGCCTATGGCCCCTATTGCTGAAAAGGGTCTTCAAGGGTGCCTATACATGTGCTCCGACATGTTCTAATTAGTTGTTGGAGCAGACTCCATTAATTAGAATGTTCCAGTGCGCCTCACTGTTATGTGTACTCAGCCTCCTGCACATCAAAATGGCTTTAACTAAAACTTGTTGAACGACCATATATAACTGTCTTGCATAAGGCAGTCAACCAACAAGGTCAGGATACCTTTAATTTTAATGGCGATCAGAAGAACCCGAGCAGTGCATAGGATTACCCCCCTCACCATGCAATGACGGGGAAAAAAAATAAGGCTCTCAGAGCATTGGTGGGTGAAAGGTCCATCCAATGAGATGCAACCCAGAATTCTCAAAGACGAATGGGTTCAATATCTTGTAAAGTCAACTGCAATAGTTAACAGGCAAGTGGCTGTAACCCTAAAAGCAAATATAAAAAAAATGGACAGGAGAATAGGACCTTTACTACCTCCCCAGAAATGAGAAGTAGGAGAGCATGTAATATATAGGTTGTTTAAAGAGAAGGATCACTCACTAAGTCTTTTATGGACAGGGCCCGTTAGGATTGTAAACAAGACTAGTGTCACAGTGCATCAAGTGGAAATCCAAAAAAATAAGCAACCTATACATGAAGGCATGGAGAGACCAATAACAGGAGCAATAAGCTCTTCTTCTTTGTCTTTCAGGGACAACAGTAGTAAGATACAGATCCTCCTGATGATAATTGAAGCAGCAAAACTGTTCAGCTTAGACCAGATGCAGCAGGTGGCAGGGATGATTGTGTCAAGGCCCGTGTCAACAAAAACGTGTGCAATTGACATAATAGCTAGCACATATCTACTGAAAGTCACGGGCAACGTGTCTCTATGTTGTAATATAATGACAGCATGAGATCACACTGGACACTGAAGGTGAAATCTTCAGCTATTAGCCCCATGTTGGTGGTACAATATACTGAAAACTTTATTATAGTTAGCAACTTTACAAAGGGAAAACATTCAAGTAAAACCATAACCTATTTGGGAAACTATCAATGTGTTCTACAAACCAGTGATGGACAACAGGTGATGGGACAATGGGCTAAGGTGTTTCATAGAATCTAGAAAATTAGGGTTGGAAGGATCTCTGGAGGTCATCTAGTCCAACCCCCTGCTCAAAGCAGGCCCGTCTCCAACTAGATCATCCTAGCCAAAGCTTTGTCTAGCCGGGTCTTGAAAACCTCCAAGGATGGAGCTCCCACCTCTCTGGGTAACCTGTTCCAGTGTTTTACTAGCCTCCTAGTGAGAACATTCTTAATATCTAATGTAAACTTTCCTTGCTGCAACTTGAGACCATTGTTCCTTGTTCTGTCATCTGCCACCACTGAGAACAGTCTAGCTCCAAATAGTTTCCCCTGGTTCCAAAGCAAGATCTTATTTTCAAAGAAATTAGTTTTGGCAACCTCAGTAGTTTGAGACAAACTGTAACAAATTATACATTTGTGATGTTACATGTATATATGAATGTAATTAGTTTTAATGTTAGTAACATTAACAGCTCTTGTAAAAGGTTTATGCAAAAAAACGAAAGGTTTAATCAATGCTTAACGTTAATTATGCCAAATTATTTTCAGGGACCACAATCCGAACATAAGCAAAAAATGAAAAAAAGGATTTAGAAGCGCTACTGGAAGAAGTAGAAACTGCTGATGTGACCCTTAATTCTACAAATGTAAAAATTCTGGCTAATACATTAATCACAGCAACAGGTACAATAGGGGAGTTGAGGAGCCCCATGTCTAGCTCCATGATACATACCAACATGATTATTAATCTAACAAAAACAGAAGTAAGACAACTGGGAAAATTGTTAATAAAAAAAGTTAAGAAAACAATTAACATGATAGAAAAAACCACAATTAACATGATAGAGAAAACTGCAAAAGCAGTGGCATGTACCCAAGCATAATCTTTGTTAAATCAAATGTAAATGCAATTAATTAAAGATGTAATACTGGGCAGAGTTGAAGCAGAATGAATGGAGATTTGCGAAAAGCATATAAAAACTGGCAGGAAAAATGGGCTTCATGGTAAATAATGGTGAATGGTACCATAAAACAAGGGGAATGGGACTTAGGGCAAGTATGTTAGAAATAAACAGTGGAACCCTAAGAAATATTTATTAAATTAAGTCTCCCAATGTTCCTAATGGAAAAGGGCATACCATCAAATGGGTTCCACCACCCCAATGAGTTACAAAGGATGGACTGTTTGTTAATCTAAAGTACTGTCGATTGTAAGGGGCAGGGTATATATATGCCCCATAAGCATAGAAACCAATTGCAAAATTAGGACTAAAGTGTAAACAGAAAATATTATGATGGTGAAAGTAAAATGGATGCCATGGGAGGAAACACTGTAAGTGTGGTAGAAAAATGCCATGATGAATATAAACGGGATATTCTCACCCCTAATCACTGTGTAGTAGCATGTTAGAATAATGTAACCACATTACTAACTGGTAATGGTATCAGTTGAAAAGCCTCTCCCATCCATGGCCCAAATAACGTTCAGCTATTAGATAAAAGCGCCAAAAAGTCCCGTTGAAGTACCTGATGTATACAGATGTTGGGTGAACCAGGTCAAACTAACAAGCTGCCTCTTCTGGGCATGCGCCGTGCTTGGCACGGGGGGCATAAAGCACTGTTTTCTTTTTGTTTTTCCTATGTCTGTAAGCAGGCCCAGATAGTAAGAACATTCTCATTAAAAGCAAAGTTCTGTTACGTGGCACAAAAAATTGTCTCATAGGTTTCAAATCCAGTCACAAAGCTGTGCTTATGTTGCTGGCTGTTGAAAGTACACAGAAAATACTTTAAAACGTTTGATCATGGGTCATGAAATTTTTATAAACTTACCCCAAGTAGTCAAGATCAGAAAAGATGAAGGTTTTATTGATGTCAAAACCACAGGCTATGATATCCTTTGCATTCTCTATAGCATATTCATAAGCTTTCTCAACCGTCAGATCTTTCCAAAGGTACTTCTCATCATCAGTCAACTGTATAACCAAAGGAATATCAAATACTTCTTGCAGCCACCTATTCAAAGTTAAAAAAATATTTTAAGATAACTTACAGTGAATAGGTTGTAAATTCAGAGAAAAAAATTAAGAGGTTTGAATCTCTACCTCTATGTACATTATTCAGTCATTGATGCTTTCACTAAACCATTGCAAAAAGTCTATCAAGTCAGAACACACAGAGACCCCCTCACCCTCTCTCAGAACTACTCTTTCACACACATTTTGCACAGAACATAAATGGTTACTCAGGCAGAACTGAAATGAAGCTAGGTTTCTATGGTCACATTAGTGGCCTCACTGTATTTGTTGTCATTCAGGAACATAAGTCTGAAAGGAATTTTGTGAGTCTTCAAGCTGAGTTCCCAGCTACTGTTGGTACCATGTCATGCAAACTATTACATAAACTTGCTGAGTTGGCATACACTTATTTTACAGGAAAAAGAACAACGAATAATATTTACCTGACACATGGGAAAGTTACAGTGGGTGCTGGGACTGTAAAATATTTACTTTACCGAATGTGACCTTAATATTTCAGTAACAGATTTTTATGTTTGCTCTTATATTTAACTGAAATAAACAATTCTTGGTTGTGATGTACTGTTCAAATGTTAAATGCAATTCAATATGTCACTAGATGAAAACCAAATGTTCTTGTTCAATATGAAGTACATAACATAGTGGCTCAAGCTACTTACTTTGTGAAGATAAATGGGATCAAATGACCAACATGCAATGCCTCAGAAGAGGGGCCTCTACCAGTATAAAGGTAAAAGGGCTTCTTATTTTCATATGCATCAAGAATTTGGTTCATATCTCTAAAGAAAATAAAAAAAGAGGCAACACGATGTGACTTTTAAAGAAGCTGAGCAACAAGGATAAATGAATGAATTCTAGAAGGACAACTGTAAGAGAAAGTAACATCTTGGATTTGAAGAGTGAAAGCTTCTGACTGCCAAATGTATTCACATATAAAATTGAGCAAATTAACACTCTATTATTAGCATACTTAAAAGGAGTTACCTAAAGAAAAAAAAGAAAAGAAAAGTTGTGCTTGCCTAAACCTCAGAGAGAACATATAAATAGGTTAAAAAAAGTAAAGCCAGAATTATTTAATAATAGAAAATGTGGCATTTATACTATGACATTGGATGGGAGGCACTGGTTGTCCACTGGATTCCAACAGTGTTGACCAGTGGTTCTTAATCTTTTTGGACTTAAGGCCCCCACTATGGATTCCCATTTGAAATATCTGGGTTTGTCTTGTGAGTCATGTGCAAGTCTTTGCACACTTACTAGTACTAATATTGCGTGGCACCCTTGAATCTGTGTACAGCCTCAAGGAAACCAACAGACACTTTACATGAGCACAGAGAGGTCTATGTCGTTAACTACTGATTGAGGAATGGGCCTAAGCATGACTAGAACTAGACAATACCTAACACTTGAAAATTTTCCTGCTTGAATCAACAACTTGTATCTATCTGCCTTCCCTTGCACCTTGCTCCCAAAAAATTTGATTGCATCGAGAAATAAGATGTTATTTCCAGGAACAAAGGATAACTTTAAAAAGGACTTAGATGTGGGATTCAAGGGATTTTATTTCTGGAGATGAGCTGCAATACTCCTATAGATGCTGAATGTGAGGAACTGAAGCAAGTAGAAAGTGCTGACTCATACCGTATGACAAACAGCTTTTGAATCCTCCCCCTCAGTTATTTATACGGGGTTATAACATTTCCTGTGCTGCCCACACATTCATTAAGGCCACCTTTGCAAAAGCGAGTCATGCAATAGCCATAAATATAACTGCTAGTTGCATCATTTAATATATAAAGATGTGATGCTTTACAGAAAGCTTTTAATATTTTAGTGCTAGACTTTAAGAGAAAATGACATTCCAAAACTACTTGAGTTCTCTAGACTTAATATTTTAATACAAACTGTTTCTTGTTAAACTAGTGACATGATAGAATATTTTTCTGCTTAACACAACAGCATTTATTTGCTATTTTCTATGCTATTGATTCATGCATGTTATAAAAACAGTGGTGCTTATAATACAAGGTGGAAGGAAGGCATCACAGTGAAATAGCAAAGACTCCCATTGTGCATTCCCCAAATTTTCCCTACTTGCTTTGAATTAATGGTGAAATATTCTAAATCAATGCATATATTCTGAAAGAAATTAACTAGGCTTTGGGGGCAAAATTTTGCTCTCAGTTAGGATGGTGTAAGTCTGGAGTAACAAGCATGATTTCAAGCATGTTCAATTGGGTTTACATTTGTAACGTGACAGCACAGCATGGCTTTCTACTGGACACAGGTTGCTCCCACTACATGGACAGGTGCTGTATATATCCTGATTTGCACACAGTCCTTGTCTTTTAAAGTTCTACACTGGTAAGAAAACTCACTCACCTATGAGAAAAAAAGATGCCTCTGCGTAGAAAGTGGTGAGGTTTTTGCCCAGTTACTCTTTCTATTCGACTGATCAGCTCTTTGTCAATTTTACTGCTGCCAAACCGAACTGCAATAAAAATTGCATAATTTATATATGTTGCTAGCTGAAGTGCTCTATAGACTTAAACAGAATATATTCCTTAGGCACTAAACTGAAGACATCTAAAACAACATTACAAAGCAGGAAAAATTTGGGTCATAGTTAATTACTATGTTCAGAAAATTTGCAAACAGCTGCTCACCCTTGTCACAGTATGTGAGCACCTCTGACCCCTCCTAGCCTTGTAGGATCACCTTTATGATCTCTGGCAGAATCATTCAATTCTTTCACTCTCAGACCGGGACCTAGATACAGTCCCCTGGTCCCAACTGTGACTACCACAGCAGGGCATTCTTTCCAGGTGGAAACCAATGACTGATTGTTTACGTACTGTATTAACCTCCTTAAGATAGAGCAAGACAAAGTATTTTAGAGAAAACATCCCTTTAAAATCAATAAGGAAGTCACTTCAGGAATGGCTGCTGTGTAGTTCTACAGCTCCCTTCCTTACCTCCCAAAGCTTATAGCCAGCCATAAGCATTCAAACTGTTCTCTTTGCCTTTCATACCTCAGAAGGATAAAGTCCTTTGCTTTTATTTTGATACCATTATGGAAGCTCCAGCTTGACCGGATTCTCTACAAAAACATAGAGATTGAAACTGTCTGACAGCACTGCTGAAACCAAGATAGCTGAGTGAGCAAAGACAGTCTAGACCTCAAGGATTAGAATAAATACGACCCTTCCTAAAACCAGTATCAGGAGAGCAGATTCTTTGAGAAAAGTATTCAAGGATGTATCAGACATCAAAAACATTAAGGCACGTTAACAGCTGTTTGGGTTTGACATCAAGAAAACGGAAACTAACAGCAAGTTCTCGTTTCGAGAAGACAATATAAATACCCTGAATGCAACCTGAGAAGTCTACAGAACAACTGCAGGACAATGTTAATGATCTCGTGAGAAATCATCTGAGACTAGCGCATCTCCAGAGGTAGAAGAAAAAAAGGGCATCACTGGGAATTTTAACCAGATTAATTTTAACCACTGCTCATCCTTCCATCTCTTCCTCTCACCGTAATTTAAAGACAGGGAGAACAAATTGCTTCTTTCTACCAAAGCCCTAGGCCATAATTGTAAAATTGATAATATATAATCTTACAAAGCTTATCCTTTCAGAAGTCTGCCACCTTAAAAAACAATTAAAAAAAAACACACCCATATGGACACAGAAGGGACATAGGATGATGTTTATCAGATTATACCAAGAAGTGGTAGAAATAAAGGTTAAGGTCTTAGTTAAAAAATTGAGTTTGAATTATTTTATTTCCTCTTCTGTCACTTTTAAATGTAAAGATGAGGACAATAGGCACAGCTTTATGCCTCCTGTGAGGGTCTTTAAAGTATTTTAACAATTCAGCTACCAGTATAGAAACTCAACTCAAACTTAAAGTCCAGCTGCCAATCCCGCTGGGAAAACTCACTTGTTTTCAGTTCCCCCATGCTTTCAGTTTCCTTTCTTTAGATCTCCTTGATTATACCAGTGGTGGGAGCCAAATGAAGAGGAAAGGAGTGGTGAAGAACTGATTTCTGGTTAAACTCTGCCCTTTTCCCAGAGACAGGATAAACCTGCTTGTTTCTGTACCCACAGTTACCAGGTCAGAGTGCCTACAATACTGGCATGCCTGTCTTGCCAGGGGTTATCCCTTTCTCTTAATGCGTCTAGGTTGCCAGCAGCACAGCCACCTCTGAGATGACTCCAAGCCAAATGATTAACTGAACTTGGGGGGACTTTTCATGTTCACAATCAAAATCATTCAGTAGGGAAGTGGAATTTTTCCCCTGTTTAATGGCAGTTTAAATCATACCTTAGCACCACCCAAGTCAGCCAGCTAGTATCCTTTACACTCCTCTGCTTAATTCTGCCCATATCCCAAATTCCAAACAGCAACTAATTTGGAGATTCTTTGTTGAAGAAAATCTTCATTCTCTCCTAATATATATCCTTCTACTTAGTCAGTTTAGCTATATTTAGTCAGGTTTACCTGCTGTTTATGTCATAAAGCACCAGGAAAAAGAAAAGCATTTTTAAAACATGACCATGCAAAACTTAAAACTAGCAACAGGAGTCATGGGTAAAGTGCACTGGGCCAAAAGTATTCTGTATTAGTTTAATGGCTGCAGCAAGTTTTAAAAAACAATCCAATTGGGAATTTTTAAAAATGGGGACATAACACTTGCCATAACTTTTGTGCTACAGGTATAAGCCATGCAAAAGTATCCTTTAAAAAAAAAAAAAAAAGAAAAGGAATTCAGCATAAGATAAAACAAAAATCACAAAGAAGAGAGCAATCTATGGACAGTTTCAGCTTAACAATCAATTCTTTAAAAATTTGTTAGTGTAAAAAGACAGGGTATAATGGAAGCTAGTTTGCAACTAATTATAACGGTCCCTATGAGCAGTCCCCATTATTATACACAGTAATAGCTTCATGGAAGTTCTGTAATTGGAAATGGTCATATTATTAGTTGGACATGCTAACAACACATGAAACTTATGTTTCAAAATGAGAGGATATAACAAAACCTTTGAAAAAGTGTTAGTTTTTAGAATCATTTTACAAAAGTTACGTTTAGAACACTGAATTTATAGTATGAGAGTATATACCTATGAGTTTGTCATAGTCTACGCCTTTTGCACTGGATGTCTGCACTGTCCATGGATCCACAAAATCATCATCTTCTGTAATAGCTGGGGCATTATTTATTGGTGTGAAATCTGTTGGAGGTGAACCAGCTTTGTAATCTTGTCCTGTTGTTGCTTTATACATCAGTTTTAATGACAATAGTAACTTCACAGCTGTGTCAATTTCATCCTGAATAAAGGAAAGTTTTCAAATTTAGTAGACTTCAGTGAAGGTTTTCCACCAACACAGACACTTACACACATACACCCTGACACACCCCCTTCAATGGGACTATATGCATTTAAGTTAACTTTTTGCTTATGTATCTGCAGGATGAAGGACCAAGAAGGGGGAAATGGAAATGATGAGAGTTTCTGAGCATTTTCCACACACAAATGATAAAAACTTACTAACTTTGGGCAAGTTGCTTAACCCTCTCTGTGCCTTGGTTTTCCATTTATAAAACAAGAACAAGGATATTTACCTACCTTGAAGGGACTGATGAAATTATTAGATATAATAACAAAATTAATAATAACAAAATTATTAGATATGCGTGGATGATAATGCTTCAGGATATTATGCTAAAAATACTCTTGCAGTGGTTCACCTTAAAACATGAATTCATTTTTCTTTGCAAGTGATCTTGGTGAACCTAAATGACTTCTTTATGACTTACCTAGTTATGTTCTATATCGGGGTGTCAAACTCATTTGGCCCCTGTGGGCTGGAGAGGAAGTGTAGAACTCTCCACGGGCCAGATCTGGAGTGTGGAGGTAGTCTGCAGGGTCATAAATTTGGCAGTGGGGTAAGCAGTGTCTATGTTAATTGCTGCAGCAAGTAACACTGCCATTGCTTGTCCCACCATCAAACTTCCAGTCCTGTGGACAATATCTTTGACATCCCTGCTTTACATAAGAGAATGTTACTGGAACTGCTCGTATACACATAAAATCCCAGGGACTAAGACTTTTTATCAATTAAAAGAAACCCCTGAAACCATGTTGGGATCCCAAATCCTGTAACTTTTTCATATGTACAATTTATATGGAAATGAACACTATTTGCATACACACAGAGGGCAGGATCTGGCACCTTGTTGATCCCACAAAGGTTGACTGAAAAGTGATGATTGACTTCTATCAAACTAGGAGTCTATTTATTGTCCATGTGCGTGCATGTATGCATGTGCACACACACACCAATTCATAATGGGTATGATAATAAAGTGCGTTTCATCCAGGATTCTCAAAGTGAGAAGGTTTTGTTATCTGCAGTTTAAAGTTGAGAAAACTGGACTAAAGCAAAGGCAAAGACTTGACTAAAGTTACAAACCAAGTTGCTTAGTGGCAGAACTGAGAGCAGATTTCCATTCTAGTCACTTTCAGTCCTTCCTTCAGGATCAGCAGTTTATTAATATTGAGTTTCAGTCATGTTGACTGAAATTCAACAACACAAATATTTTTAAAACAGAAAAAAAAATTTATTATGACAACGTAAAATACATCTCAAACCATCATTTTATTTTCAGCGCTGCTACGAGAGAACTAAACTGCACAAGGGACAATTCAAGAAATGAAATAAACATACCTTTGGTGCTTCTGCTGCTTTAAGTGATCTGACTTTATCTCCTTGCGTAGTCACCCTTTCATACAGTTCAAGTGGACTCAAAGAGCCAGAGTCACAGTTCTGTCTATTTGACATTTTCCAGGAATGTAAATGATTCTTTTTATTCACAATCTGAAATAGGTCTTGAATGTTTTATTCAGCAAAAAACTGGAGGAGAACTGTAAAGAGATAAACAGGTTATATGATTTACTGTTTTCATTTTAAAGACTGCTGTTCACACCCTATTCTATCTTGAAAGTGACACTGTAAGTAATTTCATTGAAAGTAGGCAATTCATTTGAAGAGTTTTTTTTAAGCACTGGCTTTCAAAAAGCAAAGATGCTGAGAAAAATAAAATCCTGATTCACATTAGAAGTTAGACTGGTCCTGAAGAAAATAAAATCACAGATTACTTTGTAATATTGTTCTTCTCTCTCTATATATATGCATGCCTAAATAAATAATTCTGGTGCATTTTACGTTTCATTTTACATTGTAGTATCCCTCCATCTCTTCAATAGTGGACCAAATCCTATCACAAATAAAATCAACTAACTACTTCTGTCAAGAATAGGAGTTTATGGTGGAACAGTGAATGCTCAGGTTATATACATCAGATTCTTAATTCCTACTGTGTTATGCATGCTCTGTAAAAGGGGCAAGCTAGTTTTTTTGTTTTTTAAGGTTTTTGTAAGACGATTTGCCTAAGAAATAAAGGACTGCTATTTATGACTAAGAAATGTGTCAAACCTATTACCAACTTTAACTAGTCAGAAAGAATACCTGACTGCCCTGTGGGAGTATAGATTTCCCTTGGTGATCCTTATGAAAAAAAAATTGTGCTCAGAACAATCATCAGTAAACAGATGCCCAATCAAAAATAGGTTGTTTAGAAACTAACAGGTTTTAAAATAATTTGGATGTTCAAGTATAAAAATGAAAACATCCCTGATGAACTACTATTCAGGTAGTAATCAAGGATAAATTCAGTTTTGTAACTTGGTACAGAAAACAGAATGCTTAAAAATATATTCATGGTTACAGCGAGCTTTCCACACACACAGAACTATGAATTAGAATACACTGTGCTGTCGATTAGGGTGGCAAAGTGTTAAATAGTTAAGTTGACTAACATAAAAACCCAAACTATTTTATAGCACAACCTTTTCCTAATCAAAGTCATGTCATCTTATTTCATAAACTAATGCTGCTTTTTATACGCACGGAATTCAGATAGGCTGGTGATAGATGCACAGCAAACTGACAGACTAAATTAGTTCTATATCAGGGCAGCAGCAAACAGTCTGAAAGATATTACTCACACTTGAACCATTCTTTATCAGTTTAAGACCCTGAAGCCCCATTGTCTTCAAAGGGCCCCACTGTCTACAGAGAACAAACTCCAAGGTCAGAAATTGAAAGATTATCCCTAATACTTATGAGTGGCAGATTTTCTTTAAAGATTAATCTTAATCTTTCTTTAAAGAGTAATCTATTTAGTCTAGTCCAGAACTCTTAAAAAGCCTCTCTCTGCAGAGCAGCATATATAGTACATGATTAGAAGTAGGTTTATAGATTTAGCCATAATACTAAAAGACAGCTACACGAAAAAATAAAAACCACTTAAATACTTGTTTTGCTAACCCAGCATTCCAGAACACCCATGAGACTCACATTAGCTGTTTGGCACTACTTAAATGTCTTCTTCCTATAAAATCAGACTGATTATAGCTTAAGTTATATTTATAACAAATGCACACAAATTTTACCATAGATGAGCCATTTGCCTGCCTTGAAAACATAACAGCAGGTTGCTGTGATTAACTAGATCATAGCTAACCAGTAAAGTTCTTTGTCAGCCACCTGCAATGTTCCCAGGTAACAGCCTCAGCTGAACACATGATGGTAGGTGGGGTTTATCATGGTCCTTTCACATGTCAATATTTAGAGTTTCAGAGTTAGAATTTAGTGATTCTTTCATAAAGAGCTAACATTAGTGTCCTCTCACAAGCAAATACCATGAGCATCAAGCAATGATTATCCAACATCAACTTTGATGGGTCAGCCACATCATCCAGATGGCCAACTCCAGACTCCCAAAGCAAGTTTTATTATCCCAGTTCGGTCAAGGCATATGCTTAAGATGAGGGCACAGAAAGTGCTTCAAGGACATCCTCAAGGTCAGACTGAAAAACTATAATATCAACATGAACTCGTGGGAGACTATCGCCTAAGATCATCCCAAATGGAGGAAGAGTCTGCTGCAAGGATCTTCATACTTTGAAACCTTACGTCGACAACAGGAGATGGAAAAATGGGAGTGACAGAAATAGTGTGTCATAGACCAAATCAAGAATCTGGAGCCACCCACCCCACATGAAAACGTGCCTGAGTTGCAGCAGAGTCCGTCAATTCTGGATCGGCCACATCAGCCATCTTTGAACCCACAGATAAGATGATCGTGGAAGACAACCATCCTTGACTGCGAGGGACAGCTGAGGAAGGGAGCTGGGATTTATTGTGGTCCCTTCACATGTTACTATTCAGAGTTTCAGAATTAGAATGTAGTGATTCTTCTATAAAGGGGAGGTCTCTTCCAAACTCCCACACAACTTATTTATATTCATGTTTGGTTCCTTGTCTTTTCCTTTTAGTTCACAGACAGAATGTTTGACTTGATAAGTAAACAGCATTCAATAAACCCACATATGCTAAAGGATTTTTATGAACCCTTATCAAAAGGAAGCATATCATCCTTACAAATTCAATAAGCTTAAGCAAAATTCAGATATTGCCATTTTATAATGAAAATGTTTTTAAGAATATTGAGCCCTATGCCAAATAGTGTTAGCTTATTGCTGGCAAAAATCAGAAGAGATCTCAGTCTGTAGTTCTGCACACTAGAAGTGGTCATCTTTTCTCTGATTTATCAGGCACTGTCTACCACCAAAAGCAAGATATTGGACTAATCAATTCATTTTAATGGGAGTTCAGGTGCCCAAATATGTTTCTGCATCTGGCCCTGAATGATTTCATAGACTGCCCTCAAACTTTTCTGCATGTCTGAAATCATTCCTATTACTGTTGACATTTAAATGCTCAAAATATATTAATCTAAATCATAAAATAGGTATCTCCTCGGGCTGGCTCTGGTATGGGGCCCAAGGCATATCAGCTGGGATCGGAGGGGGCGGGGCACAGCAGGTCCCCGCACGAGGGGCCTGCCTACCATGGGTGCCAGGTGGCACCACCAGCTTCCTGTGATCTGGGAGGCAGACTGGGGGCCCGCATCCCCAGGAGAAGTCTGCCACAGCTCTTGCAGCCCTCCCAGGCAGTACAGGCGGGCCCCAATCTGCCTGCCGGATGGCAGGAGGCTGGTGCTGCCAGCTGGGGTCAGCGGCAACATCAATCTTCCCGGTGCTGGGTGGCAGGAGCAGCCTCCTGTGATCCGGCAGGCCAACTGGGGCTTCCCTGCACCCCTGGGAGGGCTGCAGGTCTCTCCCTACTACCGGGTGTGCAGAGGGCCCAATCTGTCTGCCGGACGACAGGAGGCTGGTGCTGCTGGCTGGGTGTAGCCTGAGCTGGGAAGATCGGTTGGTGCTGCCCTGGCTCCAGGCGGCAGCACCAGCCACCTGTGATCTGGCAGTCAGATCAGGGGCTTGCTCGCACCCCTGGGAGGGCTGCAGGGGCTGTGCCAGACTTGTCCTGGGAGAGTGGGGGCCCCAGTTGGCCTGCCAGATGACAGGAGGCTGGTGCTGCCACAGTATTTGGGTCCATTTATGTAACATTGATAAGAATTCAAAAGAACGTGTCCTGACAAAATATAGAGGAAATCCTGTTTTTATGAACGATACAATACAATACAATAAAGTTTCTCAACCTCAGTTTACAAAGCTGAAGCACTTTGGTCACATCCCAAAGTCTCCAGTACATCAACAAAGCAGGATGCCAAGACTGCAAGCCCCCAATCTGCCTGCTAGATCACAGGAGGTGGGTGCTGCTGGCTGGGGCCAGGGAAGCTCCAATCTTCCCAGCTTGGGCTATACTCAGCTGGGAGCACCAGCCTCCTGTGATCCGGCAGGCCGATCAGGGCCCCCCCACACTCCAGGGAGGGCTGCAGGGCTCTGCCAAGTCCTCCTGGGAGTGCAGGGGGCCCTAACCGGGCTGCCGGATCACAGGAGGCTCCTCCTGCTGCCTGGGATGGTGCTGGGTGCAGCCCACACCCAGCACTGGGAAGATCGGTGCTGCCACAGGCCCCAGCCTCCTGTAATCTGGGAGGCAGATTGGGGCCCGCCCGCACCCCTGAGAGGGCTGCGGGGACTGTGCCAGACTGCTCCCAGGCGTGCGGGCCCACAATCCACCTCCCAGATTACAGGAGGCTGGTACTGGCTCCCTGGGGCCAGCGGCAGGCAGGCCTGGGGCAAATCAGCTTGTGTAGGGACCTGTCCCCGCCCAGGGATTGAGCTGATTTGCCCCAGGCTCTGCACCGTCCTCGGGTTGGCTCCGGTACGGGGGCCAGGGCATATTAGCTCATGCGGGGACTTGCCATTGCCCCAATCCCAGGGCACGGATGGCTCCTTGCAGGAGCTGATTAGCCCCGGACCCCACGCCCTCCTCGGGCCAGCTCGGGTATGGAGCCCAAGGCATATTACCCAGGATTGGGGCGGGGGTGGGTCCCCACACAAGCTGATATGTCCTGGGCCTGCCTGCCACTGGCCCCAGTTGGCAGCACCAGCCTCTTGTGATCCAGAAGGCAGAATGGGGGCCTACATCCCCGGGAGCAGTCCAGCACAGCCCTTGCAGTGCTCCTGGGGGTACAGGCGGGCCCTCTGCTTGCCAGATGACAAGAGGCCATTGCTGCTGGCTGGGGCCAGCGGCAGCACCCATCTTCCCGGTGATGGGTGCAGGGCTTGCCCATTGCCATCCCAGGTGGCAGGAGAAGCCTTCTGTGATCCGGCAGGCTGATTGTGGCCCCCCTATGCCACCGGGAGGGCTGTGCAGGCTGTGCCAGACTCCTCCCGGGGATGCAGGGGCCCAAATTTGCCTGCCACAGGAGGCGAGTGCTGCCACAATATTTGGGTCCATTTATGTAACGTTGATAAGAATTCAAAATAACGTGTCCTGACAAAATATGAAGGAAATCCTGTTTTTATGAATGATACAATACAATAGTGTTTCT